GTTTCTTCTACTTTTTTTTTGTTTATAATGAATAAATACTATTTGATCGTAATTTTGTTCTGTAAACTTAGTAAAGTAACTTCGTTTCTCAACCATACTTTTTTATCATCTTCGTGCATTTTACTACGAATTTGGATAATGGATATTTTATTTTATAAAAATATTACTTGTTCTTTGATATTGATAGTTTTGAAGATCGAGTTATAATTTTCAATATTAACTTTGAAATTAGTAACAGATAAGAAATATAAGATAAATTATGTTAGGTTGCACGATTTTGAAAATTCTGTTTTACATGTGACGCGTGGTAGCTGATCTGTTAAACGACCGAGAAGCGTTTTATGCCTGAACGCCTCGAAATAAGGGGCATGTTCAGGAATTTATAATGAAAAAAACTAGTCTGTCGATTTCTCAAACCATGTCACATGTATTTACTATTTACCGACTATTAACAATCTACGAATGCCCAATAATAGAGTCGACAAAAAAAAGAGAGAGAGAAAAAATGAAAACACTACATCAGATAAAATTCTACAAAGTGAAAAAATTGTATAAAATTTTCAAACATCCCTTACGAGTTGCTATTATTTAAATTTTCTTCAGAGCGGAAAGATCAACAACGACTTTATACAAGGAACGAGTGAAAATTGCAAGTTTCTTTAGCACGAGTGTCGCATTACTTCCACCGGTCTATGAATAAATAAATTATTGCTGCCATAAATACTGCACTCGATCTCGTATACGATTTATACATCACGCACAAGAAGTTGCATATACAGAGTGAAATTCAAGAATTGGTTAATGGAGACTTCGTTAAAAAGTTATTAATGTTTAAAGTTTCGCCCCCACTGAATTTTTTTCTAGAAAGTGAGTAGGATTTCGGGGGTAGGTCTATTCACCAAAAATTATTGTAATTGACCCCCGCAGCCGAAAATATTTTTTTTAGAACGATTTGAACAATTTTTTAATTTCGTTGAAAAATTCCACACCTTCTCGAATTTTTTTCTCAAAAGTGGGTAGGATTTCAAGGATATGTCTAATGATAAAAAATGATTGTAATTGAGCCTCGCAACCGAAAATATTTTTTCCAGAACGATTTGACATTTTTTTTTTTCGCCGAAAGATTTCAGGGAAACATATCAATATATGGTCAGGCATTACATTTTCGGTAAGGAATTTTTTTCTCGAAAGTGCGTAGGATTTGGAGGGTATGTCTAATGATAAAAAATGATTGTAATTGAGCCTCGCAACCGAAAATATTTTTTCCAGAACGATTTGATATTTTTTTTTTTTGCTGAAGAATTTCAGGGAAACATGTCAATATATGGTCAGGCATTACATTTTCGGTAGGGAATTTTTTTCTCGAAAGTGCGTAGGATTTCGGTGGTATGTCTATTGACCAAAAATTGTTGTAATTGACCCCTGCAACCAATAATAATTTTTTTAGAACGATTTTGAAATTTTTTAATTTCCTCGAAATTTCACATCGTCTTGAATTATTTTCTCCAAAGTGGATAGGATTTGGAGGGTATGTCTAATGATAAAAAATGATTGTAATTGAGCCTCGCAACCGAAAATATTTTTTCCAGAACGATTTGACATTTTTTTTTTTCGTCGAAAAATTTCAGCACCTACCCAATTTTTTTTCTCGAAAATGGGTAGGATTTGAAGGGTATGTCTAATGATAAAAAATGATTGTAATTGAGCCTCGCAACCGAAAATATTTTTTCCAGAACGATTTGACATCTTTTTTTTTGCTGAAAAATTTCAGGGAAACATGTCAATATATAGTCAGGCATTACATTTTCGGTAAGGAATTTTTTTCTCGAAAATGCGTAGGATTTCGATGGTATGTTTATTGATCAAAAATGGTTGTAATTGACCCCTGCAATAATAATTTTTTTTAAACGATTTTGAAATTTTTTAATTTCGTCGAAAAATTTCACACCTTCTCGAATTTTTTTTACGAAAATGCGTAAGATTTCGGGGGTATGTCTATTCACCAAAAATGATTGTAATTGAATCTGACAACCAAAAATAATTTTTTCAGAATGATTTGAAATTGTTTAATTTAATTTTGTAATAACTTTTTAATGAAGCTTCAGTCAAGAAATTGATATTCTTGATTTTCATCTTATTTTGGCCTCCAGAATCTCCCATTACAATTTTTCCCCGAGATGTCATATTTTAATAACGCTGCATACTTGAACTGTGCAGCACGATATCGAATTGATACACATGAAGTTAATTAAAAAATCCTATGCAATATAAATATCCATGACGCGTGATATTAACGTTTCCCAGTGACGTTACGCGATATTACGTATTACTTATCGACGATTTCAGCCTACATCACGTAACGCCACCTGTTCGATAATTCCACACAGTAGTTATGGCCTGATATAGATCAGACGTTTCGCGTAGGTACTGTGTAGTGATCCTTACTTAATACAAGGGCTACAATACCGTATTGCCGTAACCGGATGCCATGTAGATACTTGATACGATATAACGCGTTACACGAGGGTTATCTTATCTTTTACCGAAATTGGACGATCCTTATCGGAAACTTCAAACGCGTCCGAACAGTCAAGTTTTGGTAAAACGGTGTTACCCTTTGCGATCGAATTTGGTATTCGTTTCATCGCGGCCATCTTGCCACATTAGCATGCCAGACAACGGATATTACAACATAAGCCTTGAATTATTTATAAGGGTGTTCGTTGACACTCTTGTTCCACCTAAACCAAACCATTTTTGACGTTTCTTTAAACTATATTCTCTGACAAACCATTTTCAAATATTTACTATACCGATTTAAGTCGCTCGATTTAACTTATAACGCCACGAAGGATATATCGGTTCGAGAAATGAATTTATTATACTCGAGAACAAATATATCGTTGACGGTGTACGTCGCGGAAACACTTATCGCGTCGCGGAGGAAGCGAGTCGCAAAGTAAATGCGTCCCCATAATTCAAGGATCGTGTCGAACTCAGACTGTTTCTGCAAACGAACGAAAACGACATGGCAGAGATAAACGGCGGAAAATTGAAACAAGGGAAGTGAAATTGAAAGGAACAGATTGCGCGAGATTTAATCCGGCAGAAGAAAACTGACAGGAATAAATTAGAGAAAATCAGATTAAAGGAAGTCAGCGCGCGGGAGAATTCGTTAAAAAAGTAACGTGATTTTTCGAGGCGTTTGAAAAATCTTCCACGGTGGAATCACGCGTGTTTAATCGAAATGTTGACTGAAAGGTAGAAGATGGAGAAGCTACGAAAGAAGACGCTGGCACCGGTGCTCGCGGACGCACGCGAATTTTAACGATTTCGGTTTCAACGAAAGGCAGAAAAGAAGGAAAGACGTTTCTAAAAGTCACGGTCAACGTGATTTACGACTGAAACTAGCGAGATCATAATTTACTAACAGTTCGTTCTCTTTGACTTCGTTCTTACTTTATATGTTATACTTCGCTCACAAACTTCGGACAGAAATTGATCGCGAGCTTGGGAAAACTTCCTTTATCGTTCTAATGGAAAATGTTAACCTTAGAAGAAGAAATCGTAATTCTTAAATAAATATACTTTAAGTCGTTGTTGACCCTATGAATTTTCAAAAATTACGAATAATATCGGAGAACGAGGATCGTTAAATTTCAGCTTGGATAATTTTCTTCGAAAATAGTTATCGAAATGTTGGGGTAAATACGTACTCGTTCTTGATTTTGAAAAATTACGAATAATATTGAAGAACAAGGATCGTTAAATTCCCCTCCAGATGTGGCTGTTGTAATAAAAAAGTAGATAAAAAAGAAATATGCGCGTCAAATATTTTTTTTGTAAGAGTCGCGTATATTTTACAAAAATTGACGCGTTACTTGAGCGATGTTTCTTGTAAGAGCTATTCTGTATTTCATTCCTGCTGCTTTACGACCTTCGAGGAAAAACCACCCCTTATGGCGGAGCCATTCATTTTATGCGTGCCTATATAACTCTTAAATTACAGAGTATATTCATAAAGTTTCGAAATAAAAGTTGCAGAACGAAATAGCCCTATTCCTTAAATACGGAATCAAGATTTCTTGGAACACTGGAGGGGTGAAATGTGGAAATTAAATTTTCGATATATTTTATAATTCGGAATTTTAAGTATAAAATATATTATATATCAACTTTAAGGGTTAACTTACTGATAAACAATTTATTTTTGTAATAGTGTACAGTCTCTGTAATCCCAACCATTTGCTACTTCGACACGTCCAATAATCCGATACGCGAGAGCTAGTTTCGTGTTTCAACTTCTCAGTGTATACAGGGTGTCCCACACGACCGAGTCCAAGGATGAAAACAATTTTATTAGAAGAAATTGAATGGTCAGTTACATCAGATAATTGTAGTATTTCTGATAGGTCTAAGTTACTCATGAATCTTGATCAGAACTTTCGAATCGATAGATCGTGCAACGACGCTCGTCTAAGAGTTGTCATTAATGGTTCACAATTATGATCGGTGGCCGCTGTAGGCTGACCTGATTACTAACCACTATCCTGAGGCATTTACCGTTACTCCATCTCCAGCAGTACGACATATTTCAATGCAGATGGAGATCAAACGCATATTCTAAGTGTGATCTTACCAATTAGATGTACAACCTCTCTATAGCACGATTAATTCGTCTCCTCGAGACAGATTAGAGATATAAAATCATATTTCAAACAGTCCCTTTGGCAATTTCAGAAGTTTGGTATAGCAGTTAACCAAAAATTCATCCTGAAATCAACCATTTTTCGTTCCAAATAAATGACTCAAGTCGAAACCACGCGACGCAATTTTTTTCCTGCTATATGCTAAAGTATGTAAAACGGTCCTAATTGTATTGCACGTCGAATAAATTTCCAACCATTTAAAAAAACGCGCCGAAAACGAAGTTGTACGTATCTTTGTTATAAACAAAAAGGTGGAATAGCGTCGTTTTAACGGTGGAAAAATAAACTTACCGTGCACGTCGAGCTTGACGTCGACGGTGAGGGGCTCGAAGAGTGCAATGCTGTTAACTTTACACGTGAAAGTTGCTCCCAGCTCGTCCCTCGTGATCTGCATCTCCAGTAAGCTGGTCCCGGTGCCTACGCCGTTGTCGGCGATCGTTGTCGAACTATTTGCTGAAACACATCGGTGCAAAACACGTTTAGCTGTGTGTTTTTCGAACGAGTTTCGAGGCTGGAGCGCGTCGGAGCGCGTGTTACGCACCCTAAAGCCGCGTTCCCTCTTACTCGTGTTATTCTTTCGAAGCCAGAGAGACACAGAGACGCTTGTAGCCGGTGTCTTTTATCCACTCGACCGGAGCAACGAAGATTTCCCGTCTGGCTTAAACCGATACGTCGTTGCCAATCTGCGAAGTGCCTCGGCGAAACACAATGGACCGCACCGTGTCTCGCTTTCTCGCTTGTCGGACCTCCCAACCAGATACATAATTACTTGTTTCAACGACGCGAGCAGACAGCTGTTACGAACCCCACCGACGACTGTCATCATTTAGTTCAATGGCTCTGACGTTTGACGCGCCTGGACGCTGCGTTTCCACGATCTTTTCAACGCGCCGTCCGCCATCTTTGTTTGGACAGAGAATTCCGACGCGTGCGAAATTTAACCGACAGAGTTTATTCTTTGGTGTTTTCATACAGCGTTTTTCAGATTCTATACAAAATATTTACGATATAAAAATTTTTAAACGACGAATGAACGCATGCAACATCACATGGATTTCGATTTTTGTTAAAAACTTTTTGCGAACAAAATAATACGAGATAACATTTAATGGTATATCGTTGCTAATTTTAACATGTATACCCATTCCTACCACGACTGGTCAAATGACCAGTATTTCTTATTCTCTTTTACGAAGCAACGTAATTTCTGCATTATATGCGTAGAAAGTTGTGTATTGATTTTTATTCGTAAGATACCCCTCTCTTTTATGTTAAACAATTTTGTAATTTTCATTGGATAGAAAACGAATTTTCTTTCAAATCGATAGCGTACTTTGTTCCAGAGTATTCGATATTATGGGATATATTCAATACGACATTCACATAACGACGAACATTTATTAGCAATCACGCCTGGTTGTAGCGGTTGTTAGGACGCTAGATTCCTAGGTATCTAGATTCCGGATATTCCTGAATCTATCGGGTGAATTCTTTTATACATCCACAGGTACAATGACGCCTATTTTACATTAGTCGTTTCAGTTTTGTATTGTATTTATAGGATTTCCAACACAGAGAAAATAATTATTTACGAAAAAATGACATAGTAAATATACAAACACCCTGTATAGAAATTTAAATTAATTTTCAATTAAGTAAACAATTTATGATCCAGTTTTATCGCACACCAAACGTAGGATCAATAGGAATTGCCGAAACTTCTTTGAGTATATAGCGTCAAAGTAAATGTCAAAATTAACATGGCAGATAGCATAAATTATAATAGTTGTTAGGTTCGTATGATAGAGGATGAAATGCCCTTTAAAATGAGCGTTCGTACGAGTCGATAGCGTAATTAGTTCCGGAGATATAGCGATTTCAGTTTCAAGTCGATGCGGTGGCTAGTTACAGAGATATAAGGGACCGAAGCGTTTGTTTACGTTTCATTGACGCGAGATCAATGACCGCGCGCGCGTAAATAGTAGCGCGTAGTAAATTCTTGGAAGTACTACGCGGGAACTGGGTCACGACAGTCACGTTCGTAGGGTAGGTCAGCACGACGCACGAGCGAGAGAGAGGTCCGACGCGCTAGACGGAGATAGAGAGAGTCGAATTAAAAAAATTACCTTTTACATAAATTACGATATCTCGAAAACGAAAAGGCGGATCGACAAAAACCAAAAATCATTTTAAAGGGGAAGGTTCACCGCCGCCAACAGTGGTTCAATTATTAATAAAACACTAATAGTTTTAGAACTGCACAGGTCTAAAGTTTTATGATTTTTAATACGCGTTAATAGATACGCCTTTCTGTGACGTCGAGAGAGAGTCAGTGAAATTTTAAAAATTACCTTTTACATAAATTACGATATCTCGAAAACGAAAAGTCGAATCGACAAAAACCAAAAACCATTTTAAAGGGGAGGCTTTGCCGCTACTAACGATGGCTCGGTAATTAATAAAACACTAATAGTTTTAGAACTGCACAGCTCTAAAGTTTTATGATTTTTAATACGCGTTAATAGGCCTTTCTGTGACGTCGAGCGAGAGACAGCGGAATTTTAAAAATTACCTTTTACATATATTACGATATCTCGAAAACGAAAAGCCGGATCGACTAAAACCAAAAACCATTTTAAAGGGGAGGCTTTGCCGCTTCCAATGATGGCTCAATTATGGACAACACACTAATATCTTTGAAACTGCGTGTGTATAAAGTGTAACTATTTTTAATACGTGTTGTTAGATCATTCCAAGACTGACAATTGAAGATTCTCTCCTATGTGTTTTCTATTTACATTTGGTATCAAATTTTGTCCAGTTTTTTTACAAAAAAAAATAAAAATCATTCAACCAGTCCGATTACCGGTCGTTATAGGCAAGACAGACTATATATATTTCTCGAAAAACAAACTATAAGAAGAAAAGTGAATACAGTAAAATTCATTGTACGTATATTACAAGAAAAGTCGTGAAGTTGAATGGCGCTAAAATAATATTGTGTATTAAAAATTCTAAACGAGAGTTTAATGGTTTATTTGACCGGTCGTGGTAGGTTTAGTGTTAAGGTGAGACGAAAATTTTAAATGAAATTATTATTTACCAGTTTGTAACGCTTTCTAAACCGAAGTAATATCCTGAAACCGAATTCGAATGCTTTGGACCGTTATCGTTTGGCGCGTGGATTTTCGGAATATCTTTGTTCCGCGTACCGAATCCACGGTTTGTTCGATTCGGAACGAGAAGTCAGGTTTCGTTTCTCGAAAACCGACCCGCAGACCGCGAGGATTCCGCCTCCAATTTTCACAGTTGGTTTGATCCTTTGGGGCGGGAATTTCGGGCATAGTTGGTGGGATTTCGTCGAATTATAATTTGTTTTAAGCAGTTTTGAGCAGAACTTTGAACGGCCGCGTGTCAAATATATTCGGAAAGATCATTGAATAATTTTCTAAGTACATATTGCGGTCGAATGGAATCTGGATTTCGAAGTTCCGGCATTATTAAACTGGACCGTAATTTGCACCTACGAATCGTGGCTTGGAACATAGTTATAGTTATTAAAATTGGAAACTAGAACGTTTACTCGCCACTTGATTCACCGACGAATCCACGAATAATTACAATTGCTAAACATTCAATGGTTACGAATATTTTCGACGATGTTGCGATCGATTTTATAACATTTTGTTCAAATAAAAAGGAAAAAGCCAAGTCTATTTTTTAAATTTCTTTCACATCGACGATTTTCAAGCTAGAATCTAAATACGATTTTGATGTCATTTCGCAGGATACGATCGTTCCTTGTTTTTTTCCCCCCCAACGCAAAACAACGATCAATTCCCAACATTCATATAGCTTCGCGCCCACACACACCTTCTTCCGACATTGATGCATTATTCCAAGCGTCGTTGATAGGCTTCTATGGCTCTATTTATCATACATCCCGCGAAGTAACATCAAGTTCCTACCGGAGCAATTAATCAAGAACAAAAAATTATTGTTACAATTATTTTTCATTCTACGAAATCCTAGTCAATTTCGACCATTCGTAGAACCGAAGACGTAGCTCGAACGCTTCTGAACGACAGTATTAATAAATTATTTTCCAATTTATCGGTTTTCGTAGCAGGAATGAGATTAAATGGAAGACATAAATTTTCATTAGGGAGAGTTTGGAATGGTCCACGGTCAATAAAGAGATCGGAAGTATTCGAGACTTTTTACGTTTAATGACAAGGGGGATAGGATCGCGACACGTATGTGATGGTGAAACACACACACGCGGTTGCTACACACGACCACATTCGCGCTGTGTGGCCGCGTTATTCCTTTGATGCAAAGCACGCGAAACGACATCAGCCCGATCCAGTCCCAGCGGCTGGCCGAACCGTCATTGTGTCATTTTAACTGCCGCGACGTCCCTTTGACAGTATTATATTAGAACACCGAAATCTCAGCCAAACTCGAAACAGTATCGTGTAACCGATTTTCAACTATGCCCGTGCACGGGACTCGAAATTCACGCTCCGATCGTGGACGGTTGGAAAGGTTACAACGCGTCATTAAATGATTCCTCTACAAGCTTCTCTATCCTCTATTTTAATCTACTTTTTCAGGATCGTAGATTAGGTGCCCTGGTTGCTATGTGCAAAATTTCAAGCGTTCCCACTCGATAGTTTCGGAGATATATTTAAGTTGGGTAAAAAAATTTCACTTTATCTTTGGTTATAGAATTTTGTATGTATGGATATGTCTGTGTTTGTTTGATTATTATTATTATTTTTTTTTTTATTTGATGGTTTTTTACGCCGTTTCCACTGCGAGTTTTTTCTTATATTTTGTCAATTAATTTTCTTTCTTCGATGAATCCCAGTAGGTTGTGTAGCTTTTTGTCGGTGAGGTTTTCTTTAAGTTGTGTTTACGGCGAAGAGTATTGTATTTTGGGCAGCCAAGGATTAGGTAATCCGTTGTAATTGTTCTGTTGCAGTGTTCGCATATTGGGATGGGTTACTTTGATAATAAGTATGAGTGGGAGATTTTGGAGTGTACAATTCTTATTTGGGTTATAGCAGTTTAATCTTTTCTAGTCAAATTAGTTGCTTTGTTTTCTGTAAAAAAGGAGTCATCTATGTTTTTGATGTTTTATTATTTTTGTTTTGCTTTATATTTCCGGTTCAGTGTAATTATAAAATCATGAAAAGTGGTACAACTTCCATTTGTAGAGCATCCGTCTCATTCAGATTTTTGTATGGATATGTGTATGTTTGCATGATTACCTATGCTTGGCTTTATATTTCAGGTGCCATATGATCACAGAATCATGAAAAATGGTACGATAATTTCCATTTATAGAGCATCCAAGTCATTCAAAATTTTTCTATAGATATGTATAGATGTGTGTGTTTGTTTGATTATCTCTGCATTGCTTTATATTTCAGGGTCAGTATGGTCAAAAAATTATAAAACTTGGTACGATAACTACTACAGTGTGTTAGGAAATGATAAGTTCACTCACATTTATTATCGTAACTTATAGAGAAATGTATCAACTGCTCTCAGACTTTCAAGATATAAGGTCCTTGTATTAACAAATCTGATTGCTAAATTTCGTTTTAGAGTAATATTTCTAAATGATGTGATATAAGAATATCATAATTTTAACATATTTCAACCGTTAATAAATGATAGGTTCACTTTAAAAAAACATATTTATACATAGCCATTAAATAATTCTTAGCAAAGTAAAAATTAAAATTAATATTTAAGAGGTTTTCCACCACTTTTAATTAATAAATTGATTCGTTTCGGCATAGATTCGATAAGATCTGTGAGCGTTCGTAATTGCCGTTTTGAGCTCTTTTACACTATTGAATTGGCGATAATCGTCGTAAACATCGCGTACTAGTTGTCCCCATAAATTCTCAATCGGGTTAAGATCAGGAGACCTTGATGTCCATGTTAATGTGTCTATATTTTTAGTTTTTAACCATTGTTTAGTGCTTGATGAAGCACTAAACAAAAAAAACTGAAAACTGATTCATGCACTTCGAAAATTATTATCATAAGTATGACTGAACCAATCATTTTCTAACACACTGTATATACAGAGAATCAAAGAATGTATGTCTATGTGTTTGTATGTTGACTTCAGATTTGCTTTATACTCTAGTCTTACAAGGAACCATCGCGAACGGTCCGGCTTCGATTTTGATGAAACTTTGTACACTTATAAAGCAGCCAAAAATAATCGACACGTATTTTTTTTTAGCTGCGGTAACTCGAGTTTAAGGGGTGAAACCACCCCTTGAAGTTTTGGCTCGAAACGGCTATCTCGAAAACGGAAAGACATACAAAAAAATTGTTAATGGGCGAGGTTGATGGTTTCTTATGTACAATAACATGGTGTTAAAAAATTTAAAAAAATACAATTTGTTTATAACAAAAAAAAATTTATTAACTTAATTTTTCATTTTATTGAAATTTTCATAATGACAAAAAATGACGAGCATTTTATTCCAAATCTATTGGTATGCGATTTTTTAAAATTGCCTCCTACAGTTTTGCAGATTTTGATGATTTACATCTTGCGCGCACATCCATTATGGTAGTAGCCGTTCTAACTTTGATTTTAATGAAGCACTGTAGGCTTGCACTACTTCTAAAGGACAAAATCGGGAAAAATACAAGAATACCAATTTGTTGATAGAGGCTTCGTTAAGAAATTATTAACGTTTAAAGTTCCGCCCGTACTGAATTTTTTTCTCCGAAATGCCCAAGATTTCGGGGGAATGTGTAATGACCAAAAATGATTGTAATCGACCCCTGCAACCGAAAATAATTTTTTTAGAACGATTTGAAATTTTTTTTTTTCGCTGAAAAATTTAGGCACCTACGCCCTGTCGATTTTCTTAAAAATTCGTTTTTCATTTTTAATAATTTTGTTTGACGCCCTACAAAAACGTTGGCCAATACTTTTTTGTAGGTACCTATGAGCTCTACTTCAGAAAAGAGTTTCATTGAAATATATTCACTATTGTAGGAATTATCGCTGTTTGAAGATTGGACCATTTTTATGGGGTTTTTCTCATTTTGCGGGGTCAAGGATCAACTTTTTGCATATTTTTGCGATATCTACGTATTCTTGATTAAAATACGCGTCGTTTGCATTTTTGAAAATTAAAATCCTTCAATCCGTTCAGAAGTTATGACATTTTAAAGATCCGCATGAAATTTTCGTACAACATTTCTGGCCATAAATTACATTTTCGATTAGGAATTTTTTTCTCGGAAGTGGATTTCGTAGGTATATGTATTGACCAAAAATGATTGTAATTGGCCCCCGCAACCGAAAATAATTTTTTCCCGGAGGATTTGAAATTTTTTAATTTAATTTTTTAATAATTTTTTAACGAAGGCTCAATCAACAAATTGATATCCTTGATTTTCGTCTTATTTTGGCCTCTAGAATCTCCCATTAAAATTTTTCCCAAGGGTGGCCGAACTTTTCCAAATCCATTGGTATGTAATATTTTAAAATTGCCTCTTTTAAAAAATCGCATACCAATGGATTTGGAATAAAATGCTCGTCATTTTTTGTCATTATGAAAATTTCAATAAAATGAAAAATTAAGTTAATACATTTTTTTTTGTTATAAACAAATTGTATTTGTTTAAATTTTTTAACACCATGTTATTGTACATAAGAAACCATCAACCTCGCCCATTAACAATTTTTTTGTATGTCTTTCCGTTTTCGAGATAGCCGTTTCGAGCCAAAACTTCAAGGGGTGGTTTCACCCCTTAAACTCGAGTTACCGCAGTTAAAACAAAATACGTGTCGATTATTTTTGGCTGCTTTATAAGTGTACAAAGTTTCATCAAAATCGAAGCCGGACCGTTCGCGATGGTTCCTTGTTAGTCGATCAAAAAATTATAAAATTTGGTACGATAACCTCTATAAATGGAGCTTTGAAGATTTGTTTGCACGTTGACTTCTAATTTGCTTTATTTTACTAAGTTCTTGAAGAAAACATCCCTTACAGAGTACTGTGTGTTTGGACGTGTGTATTTTCAAACCAATAATAATCATCTACTCCGCGTGAAATTCCATTCTTGCGACGTCTCCGGCTATTTGTCCCCTCGAATAAGCTTAATCGTGTCGGTGGGTTAGCGCAGTATTCGCCATTTACCGTTACAATTGCCATCCTTAATATCAATCAAAATGTCACGCAATCTCACAAAATTGTTAGCCATTTTTTTCACCCCTGATTTACCGGACTTTGCCCGTCATGGGGAAGTCTCGTCGTTCCCATAGACTCTGGTTTGCCAACGAGGATCGTAAAGGACCAAGGTTCCGGGTCCAGCGTCGGTGAGATTTCAGTTTTCTGGCCTTCGTTTAACGGAAGAAAGAATTCTCATTACCTTAATCTTGCCTTATTTAGATGTAGATGTTTCCGGAGGAGACTCGAGACAATTGTTTCGGGGAGATCAATTCTCGCGGTAACTTCCTTGGCCATTAAACGTCTGTCACTCAACACTTTTTACTTACGTTTTCTGTCATCAGAGATCGTTACGGTCATCTTCGAACTGTTTTACAGACCGAGGAAGTAAAACATTATCAAACCTGCGTTTAATCGAACAGTGACGATATCAACGATAATACCATTCACTCGAATACTTTGATCTATTGAATTTTACAAATTTCTTCCTTGGAGGCTGAATTTAAATTTTGAAAATCTTTTTAAAAAGTGTTAATATATTACACATTTAATTGTATGATATATAAATGTTTTACTGGAGAGTTTAAACATAAATATAACGCGATATTGGTCGGTACTTGCGCTTATGGTTTACAGGTTAGTCTGAGAACTCGCGGACCTTGTTCCGTAAAATACGAAATTTTCAAAAAAAAATTTAAAACACTGTCGACCGAGTGAAAATTATTTGCACGATTTCCTGGCTTCTTTAAAGATAACAAATAGCAGAAATGTTAGAAAATAGATAAAAGTTTCGCTTCTGAAAAATTACAAAATTTTAAAAATCGATGAAATTATTGAATTTTATCATCGGCAGATACAAAGAATGCGAATGATTTTTAGAAATTTCAGTTTGATCGCAGTCTATAGAAAGGCTGGCTAAAACGTCTGACTCGATACGAGCTATACCACTTAATATTTAAACAAGTTTAAAGCAGACACGACCAATTAATTATTTAATCTGCAAGCACTTCCACTAAGCAATATTAAATTATATCAAATTATTCAATATCCTGTCCAATTTAATAAAATTATCAACGAATTGATTTCCATGAAAAATATGCTGTACGAATATTGTAAAACTCGTGCATAGAACGCAAGTTGTAAGTAGGTTAAACTTGGAATCAGACCAGAGTCGTAAACATCTTTCGAGGGAAATTTTGACGTAATATTCAGTGGTTTCAATGGAGCGCTCGTTTCCAGCAAATGTTTATTAATTAAATTTCTCTCGATGTTTCCCGTCACATACTGGCCAGTTTCGGCGAGCATGTATAAACGTACATAGACACGATTTAGTAGCTTCTGCATAAATACGTACTTAATTCAAGCACGTGTATACTGAAACAATTCGCTACATCCCAAAAGTTTAATCTCGTAATATTTAAACTACCTCGTGCAATTTGAAACTTACATCTGACGTGTAAACTCATCTTTCAACTTTTTTTTCAGAATTTCCACATTTACATTTCGTCGTTCGTATTTTCTATCGATTTTATCCGAGTATGAGTATTATTATTTTAGGTCCACCTTTCGAAGAGGATCAACGTTGAGAGATATTTGATTAATAAATTATTGTTGGAAAATTCACACCTACATATTTTAAATTTTCCAGTGCAAGGAAATTGAAAAAATTATTCTTGTATATCTTGAGGGAATTTTGAAATATTGTTTTTCTTCTTGTTGAAAATGACGAATGTAAATATTCTTATTTTCTTAATGCAGCGCAGGGGATTAGAAGAATTTCTTGGGATTGGAAACTCGTACAACCGTGCTTGAATCTTACCTTCTAGTAGCTGGTCGCCTTTAAACCATTCGACCAAAGGCACTGGTTTCCCTTCGCCGCTCTCGCAGAACAAGGAAACCATCGAACCATCGTTTATTGGTCCTAAAGTGGTGCCGGTGCTTAACGGTTTCTTCGTACTTTCGTCGATGACACGTACAAATGCAGGTTGCACTGAAACAGAAACGACAGGATTGAATCGGAAGTCGGTCAATTAGACGGCTAAAAAGTGGTTTCGATTCGTCCTACTATTATTGCTTCTATTCAGCAAACACGGTCGCTTACGGTGCAGTCCTTACGTTTCATTCGCTGTTCATTGGGTTTCTCGAAAATGTTCGAATCGTTTGCTGGCACAAGTTGTCCGGTAAAATTGCTACATAATTAATTTTTGCCACGTTATTCTGTCAAAATTCATCCCTTTCTCTGTGCATTCAGAAATTCATTAAACAGAGAGAATAATTTTTTACGAATTTGAAAAATAGTTTAATAATATCGAGACACTTTTGGTACCGTGATTAACAATAGTGTTTCATTTATAATATACGAGAAAAAAAAAATTTGCAGTTTTCAAATTTGTTAAAAAAATCAGTTTTATATCACCACTTGATTAACTATTCCACAGGTTATCGAACAAACTCCCAGTACATTTTTTACAGAGAATAAATTTTAATTAACGTACCGCGGAAAAATGAAATACGTTTCGTTCGACGAACGGACATTTTAATAAATCTTTGGTTAGCGGCGAACGAGTAACATTTTTTTTTCTCTTCCTTTGTAATAGCAATTCGTTACGCGTTTATAACCTTCATCGTACGCGTAGCCACCGCCGGGCCTGTATAGTTTTCAACGAACCGCGCTTTAGAAATATAATAATACACCTATTGCTCGGTCGCATCAGTGAAAAAACAAAAGCTAATAATTCTCGTATAAAGTGGAATAAAACATTCTCAAATTATTCGGGAAACAATGCCCGGACAAAACGAAACCCGCGTCCATCTTTTCTGTGCGCTTCGCCTCGATAATAATTATAAAATATTTATTTAAATTACGAACATAATTGGTGGAGGAGTCGAGCGTGAATTTTATTAAGAATTTTACTGTATTAAATAAGATTCGATGATCAGTTTCTAAGCTGTTCTATGAGTATTTAAACCATTAAGGGTAGTAAATTAAAATATCTAGTTCCATTCAAGAATAAAAAATAATACTGATAATATCTAGTATTAAACAAGGATATAAAATCTAAGCAATATTTAAAAAATTTTTACTATTAAGGGTAGTTCACCCCTTGATAACATCTGTTCTACAACAAATTAAAATATCGATTTTAATTCAACAGAAGGTTACAATATTAATTTTAATAATGTAATAGAAACTTCTGTGCCTCTTTTTAAAAATTTCCAGAGGGTGATTTCATCCCCAACTACAAAAACAGACCAAATAAAAAAATAATACTGATAATATCTAGTATCAAACAAGGATATCAAATCTAAACAATATTTAAAAAATTTTTGCTATTAAGGGTAGTTCACCCCCTGATAACATCTGTTCTACAATAAATTAAAATATCGAGTTCCATTCAAGAAAACATTTAATACTGATAATATCTGGTACCAAACAAGGATATAAAATCTAAACAATATTTCAAAAATTTTTGCTATTAAGGGTAGTTCACCCCCTGATAACATCTGATCTACAACAAATTAAAATATCGATTTTAATTCAACAGAAGGTTACAATATTAATTTTAATAATGTAATAGAAACTTTTGTGCCTCTTTTTAAAAATTTCCAGAGGGTGATTTCATCCCCAACTACAAAAACAGACCAAATAAAAAAATAATACCGATAATACCTGGTACCAAACAAGGATATAAAATCTAAAAAATATTTAAAAAATTATAAATATTAAAGGAAAAATTTTAATGGGGTGTTCTAGAGGCCAAAATAAAACGAAAATCAAGAATACGAATTTGTTCATGGAGGCTTTGTTAAAAAGGTATTAACGTTTGAAGTTCCGCCCGTAGTGAATTTTTCTCTCGAAAATGCACAGGATTTCGGGGGTAAGTCTATTCACCAAAAATTATTATAATTGACCTCCGCAACCGAAAATAATTTTTTTAGAACGATTTGAAAAATTCTTTTTCAGTAAAAAATTTCAGCACGCATCCGATTTTTTTTCTCGAAAGTGGATAGGATTTCGAAGGTACGTGTATTCACCAAAAATGATTGTAACCCCGCAACCGAAAATAATTTTTCCAGAACGATTTGAAATTTTTTAATCTCGTCGAAAAATGTCAGCACCTTCTCGAATTTTTTTCTCGAAAGTGGATAGGATTTCGAGGGTATGTCTAATAATAAAAAAAATTCTAGTTAACCCCCACAACAGAAAATAATTTTTCCAGAACGATTTGACATTTTTTTCTTCGCCGAAAAATTTCAGGGAAACACGTCAATATATGGTCAGACATTAAATTTTCGGTAAGGAATTTTTTTCTCGAAAGTGCGTAGGATTTCGGTGGTATGTCTATTAACCGAAAATGATTGTAATTAACCCCTGCAACGAATAATAATTTTTTTAGAACGATTTTGAAATTTTTCAATTTTGTCGAAAAATTTCAGCATCTACTCGAATTTTTTTCTCGAAAATGCGTAGGATTTCGGGGATATGTCTATTGACCAAAAATGGTTGTAATTAACCCCTGCAACCAATAATCATTTTCCCAGAACGATTTGAAGTTTTTGAATTTAATTGTTAATAACTTTTTATCGAAGCCTGCATCAAGAAATTGGTATTCTTGATTTTCGTCATATTTTACCCTCCAAAATCCCACAATAAAATTTTTCCCAGGGGTGGCCAAACACCCTGTATATATTAAGAACTCTTTTCCATTTATTTTTACTAAATTCGTTTACTACAATTGTGTTTGTTAACTTCTCTATATAAAACAGTAGTTCTTTTTTAATGTTAACAGATAAGTAATACCTAATTACAAGCCCTATAGAGAAGTATCAAAGTAAAGAAATCTCCAACGTACTACGACCATTCACAAGTTTCACAATTTCCACGCCCTGTATAATGCAGTAAATTAAAATAACAAGTTGTATTCAAAGAAACTCTACAATATTCTTTAAGATAATATAATAAAAACTTTCGTGCAACTTTCTATAAATTTCCAAGGGGTGGTCTCACCCCCCTCCCCCCTAAAATAAAAAAACAAACCAATTACAAACAATATCCAGTATTAAAGAAGAACATAAAATTAAAAAAAAAAAAAAATCCGTACTATTTTCCAACATACAAAAAAAATTCCTCCCTAAAGATATCTTTCTCACAAGTTAAAACCCCGACATTCTATCCAGCAACCGCAGCGCGAGAGACAACCATAAGTCGCTGGCCACGTAAATCGTCCAACAAAGTTCCCATTGAAAAATCATAATAAGAAGATGTTCAATGTCTGCGCCCCCCTACCCCCCCCCCTCACCCCTTTCTCCCCGGCCACTGCGCGGGGTCCTCATTCGTCGCGAGGCACGTTTCTCTCGATTTTAATATCTCTCAGAGTTTCCCCGACGCGGGGGGACGTTTGAATCCAGTTTTTAATTCAAGTCTCTCGCCGGGAGGAGTTTCATTGTGGGGACGAGTCGCGCCCGGCGAGACCAAAGGGAGTCCGGTTTGAAAACGAAGTAGAGAATTGAAGCGGACTATCTTTTTCTCGGGCGGCGGTCTATGAATAAAACTTTTCAACGCGTTTGCAAGTGCTGTTTCCGGGTAACCGTGGCCCCGCCCCGCCCCGTCGTCATTGGCCCCCTTGAATTCAACGCGAGCCACTGAATGTCAAGTAACTGTTTTCCCTGAAAATTCATCTTGCGAATTTACGCCCAACGAAGACTGTAACTTTTTACTGCGGGGCCGAGGTCAGGCCGGAAACGAGAAGTCGTTCGCGAAACTTCCGAGCCTCGCGTCCATCGGGGATCGATTTGACCCGCGAACGTTTAACTCAGCGGTGCGCAACTTAAACCCTATCGCGAATTAAACTTCTACTGGTCGCTCGATAAATTGATTAATTGAATCTTGGGTAAAAATTCAATTTTTTATTCATTTATTTATTGGTTTTTGGAACACTGTGTAGAAAGGGCACTTTCGTTTCAAAGATTTTTCAATTCTGTTTGTAATTTGAGAGTTTGGATAATACCGTGACTGTTGGGAATTCCAACACTTGTGGCGTCGCCTCCCATGTTCGCCACCAGAGGGATCGCGCTCTCACAAGCGCTCGACCGACCCCCGGTTGCTATATGTATATACATTCCTCTGCAAAATCATACTCATCAATCTCAGCTCCATATAGAATTTCTTCCAGAATATTAGCACCTTGATGACAAAAACGTTCAAATTTCAACTTTTAATAACAGCAGGTGTCTCTTGACCCTGTCGTAAACTTTTCGAAACAATAATGTCTGGGCTGTACATAGTAATCACCCGAAGCAATGACTCCGGTAATTATACAGAATACTTAACATTTATCTCTCAAAATTTAACAGTACATTCTTAAATATATATACTTTCGAAAAATGAAGCAAAAAAAAATTGATTTTTTTAAGGTCTCACATGAGACTCCCCCTTTAAATAAAACGGCTCCACGAACATAGTGGGAGCTTACAGTGACAAATTATATAATACTTCGTACACTTTTTGAATAAGTGGCTAACATAACCTTTCACCCAACTCTGTATACTGCTATTATTTCTGCCAAAAAAGAAATCTTATATAAATACACATAGCTCTGGGGCCCATAGTCATTGCTGAGCTTAAATAAAGGACACAGTAATAGTCAAAGAAAGTTTATTTAAAGGACTACTTAAGATTACTGAACTGGCACCAGATGGCGCGAATGTTACTAGATACTAATTTACAATTCTACTAGAACATTTAAACATGAATAACTTTTCTGGTTTTAAAATACTGAATCTCAACTACAGTAGAAAATAATTTCCACGACAATTTAAATGTTAATTTATAATTTGTACATACACTATATACTTTTGTACACGATATACAAATAATCCAGAGAATTTAAAAATAAATAAGTCTTAAATGAGTCCAGTTTAATGCAAAGTTCGAATTAAAATTCGTATCACGGCGGAAGAAGAGCGAATCGGGGCGCGCGCAACCGTCGA